CATCATTTTGATCCTGGATTTAAGCTATATTTAAGATTAACATGAATCCTGTTGCACCATAACTTTAAACTCAGATTTAAATCTCGATTATGGATTAACTTTAAATTTAATGGAGGTTTAAATAAAATAAAATGCACATGCAAATAAAATATGTAACTGATCTGACAAAAACAGGTCTCAGAGGTGTTTATTACAAATTAAAATTAAAATTTTGTCGTAAGTTGTGTTATTACTCCATTAATTTATACTAGCCTATATATTCAGCGCTCCCTGAACGCAGTCTCTGGCTTATTGCCAGTCAAGCGCAACGCTGCAGGGACGCGTCTATAATGACTTTGATCTGATCATAAAGTCTTTCCGAGTCACAGGGCTCAAGTCCAAGTCAAGTCTCGAGTCATTGCTGTCAAAGTATAAGTCGAGTCTCAAGTCTTCTTTAATTATGTCAAGTCGAGTCGCAAGTCATCAAATTTGGGACTCGAGTCCGAGTCAAGTCTCGAGTCGTGTGACTCGAGTCCACACCCCTGATCTATGCTATACTATATTTTATTGCAGAGATTCCACTCTGCAAAAACTAATTTCAAGGTGGTTGCATCACTGACCCCCAAGCCGTGTTAACCGAGTCAGTTCATTCGTGCATCGCACTCAACAGTCTTGCGAAAGTGATGTAGAGTGTGAAGAAATCCGATCAGAAGTGGTCCAAGGAGACACATTCAAAATGCATGTATAACAGGTAGAAACAGTAAGCGCATCTTGGCTGACAACTTGTGATTGAATCACTAAAAATGCATTTTAATACCCTGGATCTGGGCTTTTCTCTTGCCTGCTCAATTTCCAGGATATTGTATATAATTCATGGGAATTTCAGGGAGCTGCTAATATGTGAGAGACTCCTGGACCTTCCTGGAGAGGTGGGATGTCTGTTATTGTGGTCTTTATCAGAGAGGAGTTAGGTAGAACTTAAGCTGGGGTGACAAGGTACCATTTCACGGAACCAACATTTTGATGAAAGACATTTATTTACAACTGATGTGACAATCTTTTGACATTCTGAATATGAAGGAGGTGTTGCAGATGCTCTACAGGTAAATCTAACCAACTCTAGGCTGGAATATGAATATCATTCTGAACACATTGCTAAAACTGCCCGGTCCTGCAGATTTGCTTTAAAGTCGCTTTGGATAAAAGCGTCTGCTAAATGACTAAATGTAAATGTAAATGTAAACATAATGAATTAATGTCACAATGAATTATTAATGCACACTTTATTCATTGGAGTATAACTCAAAAGTACTGATTTTAGTATATATATTTGAATATCCAAATCAGTCATTAATCAAATGTCAGGAATACAAACAATTCAGAATATTTGATGATCCATTTTTCTTTGTCGGTTTGGTCTTTCCAGAAGTGCTCTGTAACACCAGCCTGTTAAGAGAAAAACTGATTTGCAGAATTTATGCAAATACACAAGAACAGACACAGTTTTATGATCCATAGTTCATAAATTAACCTTTTAGATCGACATGGTGAAGTTCACAGCTTCAAACCCCACAAGATCGACTGGTGAGGGAATTGCCTTTTTGTAGATTGTTCGCTAGAGAGTACAAAATAATAATTTATCAGCCTAAAGAAGCAGGAAGGCAATAAGACATCTTTGCAATTGAAAAGACATGAAATATGTTCATAAGACAACAACCTCTGGAATTTTCACTCTCATGTCAAAGGTCTCTGGTGAGGATGCCACAACAGTGACAGCTGCTTGGCGTTCTTGGTTTTTCTCATATTTCTGGTAGAAACCCATTATATAAGAAATGCCAGGCACGTACTCTTGAATTCTGAGAGAAAAATTTAAATCATATCACATAAGTCATATAAGTAGTAATCTCATGCTGTACATTAGTATTTCAGGAAACTCAAGAGCAAAATGAATTCACTTTTGACCAATCATTATGAACACTGAGGGCAGAGCTCCCCAGTTGATCTTGGTGTGTATGGAAGGTTTAGATTCCGGCTGGCATGCTGCGGACACCCTCATAGACACATCATATGTCTGACACTCCGCACCCCATCTGAGATGGGCCTAAAAACATAAGAAGAGAATCAGTGAGGGAATAAGGAAACCGATGAGAATAAGTTGTACCAAAAATCTCAAAAGACCTTTACCTTTGCTGATGAATGACTCTTATCTACTTTAACATTGGCACAGATTTTCCAGTTTGCTTCTTCACCAACTTCAGAGACTATCATTTCAATGTTGTCTCTTTGGGCTGTTGGCAGATTAAAGGCTACACCTTCATAGCCCAGAAGTTTTGCTGGCAGACTTAGACCAAGTGCTTTTACTGTGACTACAGGTTCTGGAGTGGCATCTAAATTCTACAGCATGGGGAAATTGATAAGATGACTGAATAATTGCTAGATTACTCTACTCCAGCAATTCCTAGTTACTCTGTAGATCATGTTAAGTTACTTAAAAAAAGTATAGTTTAAAAGTATAAATCTCAGGGTGGACTGAATAAGAAATTTGCAGTACATTAGGATATGTGTGGTGTCGTAATCAAGCTACAGTCTGTTTGTCCAAATATACACTTAACTATACATAACTGGAAATCTGTTAGATTAAACCCTCCTTTTTAAATCACTTTACATTTGAAATAATGACTTCAGATGTTTGTATTGCACCTGAGATGCTGGGAATGAGTTGGATAAATTGTTTTCCTCACAGGAGGTGATCTCGTCTCTTGTGTCCTACACAGAGGGAGCATATATAACAAAATGCCCACACATTAATTCCGAGCTCACCACTGGAAATCATTCAGCCACTGTAAATGAAAAAAGAGCTATGGCTGAGTCATGGTACCTTGAATACTCTGTGGGTGAAATTCATAATTTCACTGACTCCTGGAGGGTGTTTTCTGCCAGCAGTGACCTGAATCTGAATTTTTTCAATGGGTTTGGCACCCTTAGCTTTGGAAGAAGCAACAAGTTACTGACAGGAATATTGAAATATATTTTTTGGATTATATCAATTAGTCAAGGTTCAGGTACCTGGTTCGAGTTGATATGAAAAGCGGGTACGTCCCAGGAAGTAATACAGAGGATATTCATGAAGGTAGTGTGCTCGTTTGGCTTCTGCCTCAATGCAGACTGCAGTTCCATAAATCTTGGCATCAGCGCATTGCCTGAATTTCACCTCAGAGTCCTCGGTCTGCCACAGAAAACACAGCTGTTTAGTTTGCAGTGAAGGCTGCACAATAAGGAAGTCATTGTGAAGGCTGTTGTACCTGATCATTCCTTGAAGTAGGTAAAATCCTGGCCAGTGGCAGACCCTGTTGGGAGTCCGCTGTCTCAGGCATCATGGGGGTTATTTTGAATAAGGATGGATCCTCAATGTTTCTCAAAACAGCGAACACATCAGAACTGTTTGATGAAGAGTGAGACATCGTAAGGATATTTGCTGGCACTTTATTGTGTATCACAGTGGTGCTGTAGAAATAATTGAAAAACGTACTTGACTGAAAATAATTCAGTGACCGTTTTGCTTGGAGTCAAGTTCATTTCATACTTATGCTCCTTAATGTTTATTTTCAAGTCAAATGCCCATGGCAGGGCACTTATTATCTTACTCTTCAGCTCAACACCACACTGGAAAAGATCTGTGTTGATTCCATGAAAAACAAAATGATCCTTTGTCACCCTGTAAGCAGGAGGAAAGTCAACCTTCAGCACAGAGAAACCATGAAGAATCCAAAACTGAAAATCCTGTCATTAATTTCCACCCTCATGTGAATTTAACAACTTAAATTTTCACACAAAGCTATTTATTATATGACTTTAGACACCTTGGAATGTATAGCACAGGGACTATTTTATGGTGTTCATGCACAATCATTGAGCTTAAAATTGCGGTTATATCAGTAGCCTAAAAATGCTATTTTATTTTAGCGGGTTGTCTCATATAGACTGGCATGCTGAAATCACAAGATCTTCAAATAATGCTCACTTTATTTTAGTAACCAGGAATAAAATCATGGCTGACTGCAAATAACTGCAAATATTCAGTGGCATGGGTACTATTGATTTTGCATGTTGGTACATCCACACCACAAAGTGAGTCAGTGTCTACTTGATGAAGCATAACTGATAATTTTTGTATTATTACCCAGCAAAGCCATCTGTGTGTAGGGAAATGTCTGAGCTTAGTAGCTCTCCCAGATGTTCCTTGGGGGGAGGATTGATTTCAGCTTTAGCTGTAGACATAGAATATATTAATCATTTTTGTATAGGCCCATTTTTCTTCCCCACTATTAACAGACATCTAATAGGAAAACGTATCACCTTTCATTGTAACAGCATTTACTATGGAATAATATTTGCTGATTTCAACTGGGAGACCAAGACAAGCTGGCTGTATAAATCGAGCTTCATACACAAGATGGGGCTTGGTCCAGTGCCAGGAAGTCCCTTTTTGAACATCCTGAATCTTTTGCCAAACCATACTCTCCTTCCCTGCAGAAGCACTAAATGACTGAAGACAAAGTAACCAACCAACCAACCAACCAACCAACCAACCAATCAATCAATCAATCAATCATGTTTCAGCTGAATCTACACAAAAAAAAGGATCAACAATATGAAAAAAACCTGTTAAAAAATTCAGTAAGTGGAATACCTTTATGATGCTCTGAATGGAGTCTCCGCTTACATCCATTAAAAAGGCTTCTTGTCCAAAAACGCGTGCATATGCTGTCAACAGAGGTCTGTCTTTTGGTAGGTTCTGCCAGTCAGAGAGCTTTAAAAGATCAGAGCATAGCCATTAATCTAATGACTGATATACGTCAAGAAATGCATTTCATAGATTCTGAGACTGAAATGCTCACAATTTTCATTATAGTGGCAAAATCTGTGATTCCTAAATCTTTCTTGAGTTGAGGGATTTTTCCTGCAAACAGCTCTTTGATTCCATCTGCATGGACACCAAGCTGGAAACATATGAAATATTACATATAAAACATAGTATACTGTACATACATAAAATTAAATGACAATGTATATTATAGCTTTGATTTGATTACCTCAAGAAATTGCAATATTCTCCCAATGAAATGAATTTTTCCCTTAAGCATAAGTTTTGTTGGTATGAGACTTTCATTTTTCAGCATATAAATGTCAGCAGATGTCCCAAATAAAAAGTCATCTGATGAGACAAGATACAGCATCAGACCATTCCCAGCATCACTAAAAGATTGCACAACAAAGCTAGCAATTAAAGTGAGGATGCACTTAATAAAGATAAATGAAAAGCTCTATGTTCTCTGGAATTTTACCATGTTCTGAGAAACATTCTTTCTAATGTAAACCCACCATGGAACCAGTCAAAGTGCATATTCTTGCTGTAGCGATAACTCAGGTGGCCAAGTTTGGGGTTAAGAATCTTCATGGCGATATTACAGGCAGTGGATCTTTTTTTTTTTTTTTTAGAAGAAAAAAAAGAGGAATGAGGACAGTTCAGATGTTCTGAAAGGAGAGGGGGAGAACACAGTACACAAGAGAGCATGCTTACAGATGTTGATTATCAGGGGTGCGGGACTTGGCAATGCCTTTGAGTAGAGAGTAGGAGAAGCTGGCAACCTGAAGGTCAGTTTCCTCCAACAGGACCTCACTTATTACTGAGATCAGAGCTATGGATGGCTTGGTCTCTAGAAGCACCATGCAGGCCAGCATGCGGATTTCAGCAGGAAGAGTCCTCTGTACAAAGAGGTTCAAGACAATATCCTGTACCTGCACACATACAAGAAGTAGAGAGATGGTCTTTATCGGCTGAAAGTGGTTCTTGCCATTATACCACGTGCCCATCTTACGCACTCCTCACAGGACTCTTATTCTCATATTCTCTTTCATTTTACACAAACTAAAAAGCGTTTGTGCACTCAAAAGCAGTTTCAATGCCAGGCATAATAGCGGCTACCAGATTCCCGCAATTTTTATACAGTATAATTACCCAATGATATAACTGCAAAAGAAAATATTGAAATATATATTTTTCTCCCATCTCGTGTTTATTCCCTTTAGGGGTTCCGTATACACGTCATTTTCTTTCCGAACACGGAATTGGGATGCGGCGGATTGCGGGGGGTATGGGGGGGGTCACGATGCCGGCTCAACATCGTGATGTCTGTCAGCCATCGGTGATGGACGATGGCATCGTCTATCGGCC